ATTTTGGTCTGTTACCGTCTAAAAAACGAGTAAATACTGAAATCAAGTAAAGTATCGACTTTTATGTAATTTTCAGTCTGGCAAGTTTGACATGGCTGGAGATTTGTTAAAGAAATGTCTTCAGTATAACAAGGTAATGGACGCTGTTTCTTTGCCATCTATTCCTTTACGCCTATATGGAAGGGTTGCATTAACAGTTGGGAGACTCAACGTACTTTTGTATTGGTTTGTAGTCATGCTGTAAAGCTTGGGAGTACATGGGATACATCATGGAAAAGGAACAAGCTTATAAAGATGCAGCTAAGAACTACGAGAACGCTTGGATTTATGGCAATCAAAACAACCCAACTATAGGTATGGTCTGAATCTGTTATAGAAATCTGAACTGAAATAGAGGTTTTCTTTAAGAACTAGGTATACTTTTACATAGAGCTGGATGTTTGAAGTGTTCTTTTTTTCTCATTTTTCGTTTCCTGTCCAGGTTTCAGACTAGCGTTTAACTATCTAAAGGCTAAACGTCTTGTAGATGCTATTGACGTATGCCACAAGGTAATATCTTATGTTTGTTGTACTTTTTCGTTTCTTATAGACGACAGTAGTAAGTCAAGCACGACCAAACCTGTACTCAAATCACCGGTAGAATACTATTGCCCCATTGCAGACAAGCACTTTTCTCGTAGGAGACGAAAGCAATCTCTCTACTATTACTTTAGATAAAACAATGCACCAGAGGGTCAGAGATTATGCCAGCGATTATGACAATTTCTTGATTTATTCTTCCCCTCTGCACTCAGACTTAAAAAAGAATCTTGCCATACGATCAATTTGTCATCGATGTAGAGAAGTAAAGTTGACAACGGTCTAATGTTTCATTGTAAATAACCTTTAACTTTTTCCTCCAGGTATTAAGTCACCACCCAAACTATCCAAAGATAAGAAAAGAAATCCTGGACAAAGCAAGAGCAGCATTGCGGGCGTAAATATTCACTCTACCCCACACTTGGTTCGCTTCCACATAGTTATTAACTGGTTTCTGCCGTATGTCATTTGATCATATTGAAAATCAAAACCAACTTAAATAAGATTGGTCAACGGAATTATCACCCTCTCATTCCTCTTAAAAAACTTTCTTTTTCCGACCAAAAGCGACAAACACAAAAGCCGTGAAGGACCTCAAGACAGTTTTTTGTAAAACGTTAAATCTTTGTTTTATACCAAAGCTGCGTTCTAAATCAGGTTGAATTTAGCTAGACGTACTATGTGAAGTTTGATTTCTTGTAAACATTGCCAACAAGGCCTATGGCTACCATTGAAAAAAAAAATTCCAGGTCCATTAATCCTTCAAATACTAGCATGAGTATGTTTATTCTCCATAGTGTTCTTTAAGGAAAAAGTAACCCTATGATTTTCGAATGCATGTAATAAAGTTGGTTAGGTTTTGTACAGACAAAAACAGCGTTTAAACGTCCAATTTTTTGAAGTTATTTAACTTACACTAAATGGAATCTCTTTATCATTTAAACTGCATTTTCTAAATGGAAATACAGCATCGATGGACAAAAGAGTATAACTAAAAAAGTTACTAGTAGAAATCGTGTGGAATGCTTTCAAGGAAACCTCTGAAATTCTGTCTTTTTATCAGATGAACTACACTTGATGAAACTTGTAAAAAAGTACTTTAAAATTATGGGCTCATTCAAGTATTCACGAAACTGTATCTTTTCAGGAAATTGAACCTGAATTTAATACCTTTTTCTCCCTGTGATAAGCTTTCTTTCCGAATACTTCTCTATCAAACACGAGAAATCCTAAATTATGTCTATCATCGAAAAGGCTTAATTTTCTTGCCCATCGAGACCCACTTGGCAATGTGAAACCTAAGTAAATATGCAACTGTTACACGATTTACTACCGAGTTACACCGCTGACACCTTTATGAATGACTTGCTTACTTGGCGACCTGGTGTTTTGACCACGAGAATGAAAAAAACACTAGGCACAGTGTGTTAACCAGGGAAAAGGATATCTTGTTAGGTCTAGTTGAAGCAAAAACCCATATGATTGTGCAGAACTATAACTATGCGTCTTAGTTCTACCATATTTTAAATCTTTTTTCGTTTATAAGGGAAAACTGCGTAAACCTGGGCAAGAAATGCATTCTTGCTTCTGATTGGCCGGCTGATAAACCAGAAGCCTATTGATAATGTGGAAGAATTAAAACGCTTCATGCTTTTGATTGTAACTATCCTTGTTTTCGTTTGTTTCGTTATTTCTACCTTTCTTTTAATCTTTTTTCGACCTCGGGTAATTTTCTTGTACTGTGCTGAACATCGTCGTCGTGTTTGGTTTTTTACTTTAGCTTTGTTGGGATACTTTTCACATTGTATTTGAAATCGAAATGGAATTCCTTTTGTATCATTTTTAATTAGATACAAATTGAGGTTTCTAGCCCATTTGTAAAAAAAATCCGAAGTATCCTAAATTTTCTACACCACTCATCAGCCCTCCTGTCTTTATACTCCAATGTCTCGCGTTACTGAAGCAAGGAAGACGGGAGAGTCGATGACTGAGACCTTGAAGTAAGTTTTAACTTGCTTTTATGTCTTTAAAGAAGTATGGGTGACGATGAGTAGTGTCAAAAATTTAAGAAACTTCTCATTTTTTGAGAATGGGTCAGAAACCTCATTTTGTACGTACCTTTTTTTTTTCTAATGTCAGACGATTCGTTTTTCACACTTCTTTCGTTCCTGCTTTAGTTAGATAACTGCCATTTTGAAAAAAACCAGATTTCACTGAGAAAAGAATTCTTGCCTGGAAATTTTGAAATTGAGACATCTTGTGTGTGCCAAATTCTTTGACATCTTCCTTAACTTGTTCACAGTTTCTTCCTAAACAAAGTCGTTTAAGTATTTAGTGGGCTTCCTGGAAGCTAGTGTAATAGTATCAAACTTACGTCACTTTATTGTTATTTAATGTTAAACTGAATGACGTTAGGGATCTTACTAACTTAGTACGTTCTGTGATTGGTCGAAAAAAGGTCACAGCACTGTCTCTACAATTTATACACACACACACAAGCACCAACAGCTTGAGGTCTAATTTTCAATTAATCTCTTTATTTAGGTATCATTTTGTTTAATCATCTTTTTATACATTTTTATACATTGCGTTTGCAGTAGTTTTCATGACGATGATATCACGCTTTCTTTCGCTTTGGACGCCATCTTGGATCGGCAGGCGCACACATGACCTCGATCTCATGTTATCATCTGCACCCTTATGGCTAGGATTAGTAGTTAGTAAAAATGCAAAAGGCCTTCTCTACATAAGAGCGAAGGGTGAAATATTGTACGAATCTTAAACACAGCGCACGCTCCTTAAAATTACCGCATTGTAAGTTAGTTATTGTTTACCAGATTTTTTCTATTGCATATCACTTTATATCATATATCAGTCATTTACTGCATATCAGTTATTTACCGCTTATCAGTTATTTATTGCATACCAGTTATTTACTACATATTTATATACTGCATATCAGTTATTTTTACCGCATATCAGCTGTTTACTGCAGATCAGTTATTTACCACTCATCAGTTATTTACCGCAGATCAATTTTTTGCTGCGGATCAGTTCTTTACCGCTGCCTTCGGTTTCAACTCGAACAAATCGTGACATTTGCACAACTTCGTGCCTGAATTTTTAATTGATATATGATACAGAGATTGTCTTAAAAACAAAGCAAAGGATGTAGCATCACTTTTATTGTGGATACCACATAAAAGATTTGTAGCCAATAGGTTTTGGACGGCAGGTGTTCAGCTCAAATCCAACCAAACTTTAAAATGTTAATTAAAAATGGGGAAAAATCCAAACAGTATCTTGAGAGGTTCAATATTGATAAATACAAATGTTATACCAATTGAAAGGATTCAAGGCAATCCCTGATAATTCAAAATAAGAAACTTAAAACTGTACCAAACCTTACATACAAATTTTAGTAAAATTTGTTTACTGCATGAGAGAAGTAAGTTTCAGTTGAAGGGGTCGGCAACTTTGTTGAGTTCTTCCGAATCATTCCTCAGCTTTAAGAGTCGAAAGTTCACACCTTAGTGGATTTCGTTAAGAATACTGTACACATGGCTCGATTAGGAAGATCGTTCCGCGAGGCCAGATATAAAGTAACTGTACATCTCTTCAATAAGCAAATTAACACGACAACAACCGATACGCAGCTTAAGCGTACTCAAAATATGGTTTTTGAACAATTCTGTCAACAAACAGATATTGCTAAATTCCATGTCGGTAAGTTGTAGCAAACCTCTGAATTTTTTTCAATAAGCTCTTTTTGTCGAATGAAATCGTTGAAGATCGGAACTCCTGGAATAATAGTTGCCTACACTTTCGAAGGTCCTTCAAATGTCCAAATTCAAATGTCCAAATTGATTTTTGGACACTTTTGTTGGAATAGAAAGAAAACGGTTAAAACAGATAAATCGGCTCTTAAATCTTCATCAGAGAAAGCCACAAGGGAAATTGCGGCATAGCTAGGGCTAGGTTACGATTTCAGGCTGGGCTTTCGAGCATCGAGCTTTAAGTAACCGCAAAGTCGATACCTAAAAAGCAGAGGAAAAATTTACCACATGAATCGATTAGGCCCATTCGAAATTGAATTTAAGTCTGTTTAAACTAAGTAATTTATTCCGGGACATGAACTTTAATCATGCCCCTCCTTCGAGTTAGAAGTTTATGCTGATGACCCTCCTCAAACGGTTTCCTATAGTTTCGCACGTATACGCATGTATACTCCACGGCGCCTCTGTTTTAGGTGCTCACAAGCCTTGTGTTTCTTGGCAGCAGTTGCTGAATTCAAAACACGCGTCTCTAATATCTGAAGACGTGAAACTTGAAGCCGTTGAGTTAGGTTTGCCTTGTTTTTAGATAATGTAAGATCACAGGTCCTTGCCGCTCATCCAAAGTCACGTTGACAATGGCTCAGTTTATACAACATCTACACAGGTGCTTCTTAATCCAAGCGATGGAGCTGACATGGATCTTTTCGGCCTTGTTCCATTAGACGTTCCCACGGATTCTAAAACCAAAGCAAAACCAGAGGAAGATGCTGTTCTTCGCAAAGGAAGATCTGGTGAGCAAGGATTCTTTACTGAAGCTGCTAATCTTCGAGTGGCACCGTCGTTTGGCATGAATTTTTCTGACTTTTTTAATCGTAACATCTCTAGAATGGCATTTCTAAAGCGGCGATCTCTATAGCAGTAAACCAATGGATTTGCTAATGAGTTTAATTGCATCAATGTCTCGGTTAATCGGAAAAACCAAGTGTTACGCATGATTGTGAAAAAGTTTCCTAAAATCGCTACGATTGAAGGTAGAAGAAACGAGAGGATTACTATTCCGGTTATAAGACCAGTCGTTTTAGCCACTCTAGCGCTCTGTTTTGCCTGAAGTAAAGCGTTAACATCGATGACTTCGTTCCTTTTTCGATTTCGCACTTCAAGGTACACGTTAACATAAAAATATACGATAGCTGTTACTACTGCTACTCCCCAAAACATTCCTTCGATTATATCTACATTTTCAAACCACTCAACATCCCCGCTAGTCCCTCTTAAAACGAAGTAAGGAGTTACGATCATGAAAGGCAGCCAAGCGAATAAAGCAAGTTTCTTCGCCCGGCCTCTTGTTACGATCGTTTTGTAGTCCGTCCATCTGCAGACTGCCATGTACCTTTCCCAAGCAATTACTGTCAAGTGAGACAGTGCTGTCCGAGAGGCAGAGAACATCACGGTTACGCCCAAGAAGTCTACTATACATACATGGTCGAGAAAAGTTTGATGAGCTATTAACAAATCAACAGCTGCTGTTAACGGCATGGATACAGCACCAGTCAAAACGTCTGCAACCGCCAAACTGCTCAGCATTATGGTGGAAACTCTTTGCAATTGCTTTTTCTTTCTCACAGCTACAATCTCTAACACGTTCAGCACGACGGCAGCGGGAGCTGCAAGAATTGTAATGACAAATATAAACCACGGAAGTGTAGTTTCAACCAGTTCCCACTCAAAGCTTGGATAATACCAACAGTGAAATCTCCACCTCGTCTCGTTGGCGTTCTTGATGAATTCAGACTCGTTCATATTGTATGGGAGTGTCGTTTACCAAGTTTACTTGTTTTTATCAACTGAGTTTCCAAAGCTGTCGGTTTGAGTGATAGCCCTTCGTCAGTGCAAAGCGTACAAAGTAAAGTCCTTTTACGTGTTTAGAAACAGAAAGGGAAGGTTCTGTCTTCAATCGTTTTTCCTTATCAGTCGGCAAGGAAATCTGAATTACTTGTAATCATCTCGACTTTGGTTGCCAAGGAAATACTTGTTTTTACTTATAAACAGCATACCAGCTGCTCTTTTATATAAAAAGTCAGATACACAGAACACTAAGAAAAACAATTGGAGTCCTTACAATCCCTTAAAAATAACTGAAATGGTTTTCCGGTACTTTAGTCTTGTGCATTTTACCATCTTAAAATTGATTTTTAAGATTGGGCGACGCACTTTACCGAACCCATCAGATATTTGACAAAAATATTCGAATGACGAAATTCTTCTTCCCTTCAAAACCGAGACAACTGTTCCAATTATCTAGTTTCAAATCGTACACTTTCTTTTCGCTTACTTCCCTTTTTTTTCCCTTAGTCCATGTTAATTCACCGTGAAAATTTGACCTATTATGCCGATAAAGAAAGATGGCTGTTTCTTTCATCGCTTTTCTCCGTCAGAAGAAGTACTTTTTTTACTTAAATATTGAATGGAAACTGCTTTTTTGGTGAAGAAAATAAATGACTGATAGAAAGTCTGATGCTAGGTCCAGTTTATTTCCCACCGTTGGTAGAAGAGGAAATATAGAAAATCAATCTCCAAGTAATTATGAACGCTTTTGAATGATTGTGACGGCTTTATCAGGACAGATTCTGTTCCTTTTTACCATTTTTATGGAAATCGCAATGAGTTCGTGTTTTGGCTTCAACCAAAACACTTTTTATCCTTGGTTTTGTATCGAGCCAGAACTATTGTCATCGTGCATATCATGTTTTGAAAAATTATGATAAATTAACTTGTCAATCTTTAGTATCAGAGCGAATTTAATCATTCGACAGGATCAGCATCAATGTTGTTTCTTCTTGCAAAAAAGTCCTGGTGTGACTTGATTTGTTCTTCTGTCAAAACAGTGCGATCATAAATGAGAAGTTATCTCATTTACAGGTCATACTTTCAAGCTCACAGTTTATTATGTTGAGCTGAGCATCTGAGAGGATGAAGATGTGATATTTAACATTCCCAGAACCCCATGCCCTCCTTTTAATTGCGAGCTGAACTCCTCATTTCGTATTCACTAATCTCGATCCACTTCCATGAAGATCATTGTCTCTCGTACTACTGAGATCGATAAATAGAGCGAATCTGTCTCCGGCAAAAAAGTCTGTTACATTCATCGTGCTGTTTTTCTTTCCAAATCTTCTGAAGACCTCTTCCCAAATATCCCTTGTCTCCATTCCCTGACGGTAAATCTTATTTGGGACTCCATTAACAATCACCTCGTTTTAATAGTTTTTTCAAATCAACGAATTCCTTCAGGAGGCAACTCAGTTCCAGGAGGAACAATCTGAAGCTCTTCTCTGACGAAACCACGCTTTGGCCCATCTTTCAGACAATAGAGAACAGGTTCGCCTTTTTTCACAAATAATTTTTCGATATTGAAGACCTTCAGAGACCAAATTGGATCTGTGACCCGCCTCTGATCACCTTCCGGCTCACTAACGGCATAGACATTCTTTGAAGAATCTGATCTCTTTTCCTTAAAGCCAACAGGCCTTGAATAGGTCGTTGAACTCTTTGCGTCAACCGACTTATCTTTGATGGCATCCATAGGTTTCTTTCTAGTCAACCTGGTCACTTCAATATTCAAAGCCAACACAACTTCTGGAAGCCTCTTCACTTATTCGGTTGATCTCTTTCCCCCTATGGAGTTCATCTCCTGACTGTATTGGAAAGTGAAGAGGCGTTCACCCAAAGTTCGATTGAATCACTCGACGATTCCCTGATCTCTGTGAACGTTCACATCCCCTCTTCTTATCCTCACATCATGCTTTGTCATCTCTCTTGTGACTTCACCCACGAATTCACGTCCAGGATCAAACATAAGAACTTTCAGCCACCTCAATTGCCCACGCTTATAGATTGTCTGAAGAGCCTTCGAGACCTCCGAAGAATTATTTCAAGTGAAAGGTTCGGCAGCCTTGAATCTGCTTGCAACATCAAAAACTGTCAATGCATACTTGTAGACTTTCTTACCTCTCGGGGGCCTGTTATGAGGAAGGAAAAGAAGATCGGCTTGATGAACTACATTTGAGATTCAACATTAAAAGTTAGTCTCGGGATATGCTTTGGGGCAAGCAAATAACTCTGTTAGATGGCTTTCCTTATCAGCCAAAGCTTTGCAACGTCCTCAGAAACTCAGGTTTCTTGAGCCAACCTCTTCACAGCAATTCCCTCCAAAAACCTTTTGGGCCATACCAGATTCCTAAAAGTTTTCTTTCCATTTTGTGTTCAACGAAACGACTGGCGGCCGATCCCAAAGCCAAAGCCATTCCTCCGACGTAGATCATTTCACCTTGCTTTTGCGAAGTACTCGGCTTATAGAGGTCGGAAAGTTGTGGTTCTTTCAGATCAAGACCTTTATTATGCGCCTTGTTATACAGCTTCCCATTGTTTCTCTTCATCGCGCGTGGAATGCGTTTCTCGAGGAAAAATTATATTTGCATTTGTTTTCTACACCATGCAAATATTGAACGTCCTTTTTAAAGTTACTCAAGCTTCTTACATTCGAAGATAACATTTTGAAATCATAGGAATCCATCGTAATTCGTCTTCAGTAATAATCTGAAGGGAAAGCAGTCTTTAGAAGGCTGTTCACAATTTCTAAAACAGATGTAAAGGTTAAGAAGGATCTGCAACGTGAAAAACACACAAATACACATATATAAAAACACAAACATGACAGAATTGATTGTATTGTATTGATTGCATTTTTTGAAATTAAAATTGAAAACGTCCCCTTTGGACTGCAAATCTAATCTCCACAGTTTCTGATTTTAATACTCGTACTGGTTTAAACAGTTATATTCTTTTTAAAGTCTAGTTGTCAAAGTCAGTTATCCACTTGAAATTTCCAACAAGAAGAGGCATCTATCTTTTAGCAGCTTACATCTGAGAAGAAGCAATTCTACACTGGTAATTTGACACATTGCAGGCAAATGCTACAACTGATTAAATTCTATTTGAATAAAAAACATGAAGGGCAATAGAGGAAATAACCTTGCACAATCCAATTTTCTTAAGTATTCTGTGATATTTCATATAGTAAACTGAGTTTACAGTTTACCTCATTTTACTGTCTTCTGTTCATTTGTTTGTTTGCTTTCCTAACAACATTAACTACTGTTGCCAACAAATGTGAGGAGCATATAAAATGTGTACGGTTATTAACACTTTAATCTGTGAGAGTGACTAGCATCTAATTTCTCTTTACAATATAATCCCTGAATCAAGCATTAAAGTCATGAGAATAAAGGAAATGATAATCAACTGAAGAAGCTCCTGATTGTTAAACAAATTCTCCTTGCTAACACATTAGGAAATGTATAGAGGACAGTATGAAGAATATGCCCATTGACGATAGGGTGTGAAGGGTTAAAGACATCATGTAATCAGTTTTTGCTTGAATATATAATTGTGGTAAGTGCAAGTGTCTAGTAAACATCATTTTATGGTCTTCTACTCATCCGCCTTGGAGGATACCTATTGTACCTCAATGAATTCAACTGAATATATCCAAGAAGGTTACAGAAACGGACTCTCAAAAACGGCTCTCGAATTAAAAAACTGTAGACAACAATTATTTACGCTAACCATGTGCTTACCAGCGTGCTTGTGAGCTCAAATTGCCAAGACCCAGTTTATTACACGATCACAGCTCAGACGCTTCTTTCAAAATGTGATGACTATGGATTTCAGAGATCGATTCTTCAGTTTCCAGCATTAGGAAAGAAATTTCGTATCGCAAGCATGTTCATCATAACTCGAGCAGTAAGTACGCCTCGAGATGTTGAGAGAAGAGAGAGTGGCTCTATGTTTTGTGAGACAATTGAAATTATTTCCTGAAGTTCGTACGAATCGAGTAGAAAGCATGGAAAAATAGCGCTGAAAAGTACCATGACTCAACAATGAAGTTCACTCATTCAGCAGTAGAACTAATTCCATTTTTCCATTTACCCGCGAGTTTGTTCGCACCACGTATTTTACGGTCCGTAATTTAATTCTCAGATGTTTGACGGGTTCTCATATGACAATGGTGTCAAAATCAAATTACCGCGTCAGACTTAATGTAACATGGACATCGCTGACTCAATCTCGTTTTATTTCAATTTTGGGAAAGGCTACCACTTCGCTCTTAGGCTAAACAACACTTCTTGGACAAAGCGCGATTTTTTAAAATAAATAGAGTAAATCCTGCGATAGTTGACTGAAGAGAGAAAGAGATAGAAACTTGCGCTCGCCGTTCGCTATCATTTGAAAGCTTTCTAGGTAAGACAAAATCCGTAAGATAACCTCTTTTCTGTTAACACCACGACTGTATAAAATATTCTAAACGACAGGACAAGAAATACCTTAAAGAATAAGAACACTTTGAAATGTTATTCGAGCCATGAACTGGCGCGAGGGTTTTTAGGCGATGAAGGTCAAATTCATTGTTTTACCGAAACGTGATTTTAATTATAAACTGAAGCTAGTATCAAACTACGATTGTTAAAAAACGTTTGAATTATTCTGGGCCTTAGCGTCAGAGAAAATCCAGATAAGACACGACTTATCTCCTCGTCTTTCTCGGATGCTTTCTAGTTTGCTTCTCTTTGTTGATGATCTCTTCTCAGTCTGTTTCCAGGAGCGTCTTTGTATTTCCTTCTCGCGTTGCTCTCCGCTAGATGTTATTTGCCTTTTTCTCGCTCTTTTTCGCGTTCCTTTCACCGTAATTCAACCGTATTGATGTCCTCTCTAACTTTCTTGCGCGTTTTTCTCGACTCCCT